GATGTCTCATTCGCTTTAAGCGTGACCAGCAGATACCAGGGAATCCAGGTGAAGCACACTGGACAGCGGTCAAGAACATCCTAAAGTATCTTCGGAATACTAAGGATGAATTCTTGGTATATGGAGGTGAGGAAGAGCTGAAAGTGATCGGTTACACTGATGCGAGCTTCCAAACCGATCGAGACGATTACAAGTCACAAGCAGGGTATGTGTTTTGCCTGAATGGCGGAGCTTTTAGCTGGAAGAGTTCTAAACAGGACACAACCTCCGATTCAACTACAGAGGCTGAGTACATGGCTGCTGCTGAAGCAGCAAAGGAAGGTGTTTGGATAAAAAAGTTCATTTCTGAACTTGGAGTGGTTCCTAGCATTAATGACCCAATCCCGTTGTTTTGCAACAACACTGGGGCCATTGCACAGGAAAAGGAACCACGATCTCACCAAAAGACCAAGCACATTGTACGACGTTATCACATCATACGAGAAATAGACAGAGGTGATGTGGAGATTTGCAAAGTAGGAACAGACAACAACATAGCTGACCCCCTGACCAAGCCCTTAGGAAAGCTAAAGCATGAGGGTCACACTAGGTCAATGGGCATTCGACCGATGCCAGATTGGCCATAGTGCAAGTGGGAGATTGTTGGAGTTGGTGCCCTTACGGCCAACTGCTGTTGTAATATCTTAGATATTTTCTATCATGTAAAGGCAGATGCATTAAGTTTACAAACATCTCATGCTAATGTAAACTCTTAATTGCATTCATAGAATTATATTATAAGATGTTTATCAGAATGAGTCTTCTGATGTTGAGACTGATGTCACTTAGTATAATTCTGAACAGTCTATAGTCGAAGCATTAACGAGAGTGGGATATCGTTAGTGTGCGTGAGACTAGTGAGAGTCAGATGTTTGACCTAGTCTCTTGGTCAATGACGGAGTGTTCGCATCTACTCTCGGGCAGATATTATCGTTAATAATAGGATGCCAGACCTGACCCACCTTAAGGACATTGCCTAGACTTTTAGTCAGATGACATCTTTCAGTCAGATGACATCTTTCGGTCAGATGACACTTTCGGTCAGATGACATGCTTCAGAATGAGCACCACCTTGTTTGAGAATGAGCACTATCTTATTTCAGAATGAGCACTACACTGAGCAGACTGTGAATGAGTACTAGGTTGTTTCAGAATGAGTACTACATTTATAATGAACAAATGTGTGAAAGTCAACCCTACGATGTCTTAGAATGAACACTACGTGGATTCAAAATAAACCCTATGTTGTTGTCTCGTTGGCTATGAATGAACACTACATTGTGATGAACAGTTGTGTGAGAATGAATCCTAAGTTGTTTAAGAATGAGCGCTACATTGATTCAGAATGAGCATTCATTGTCATCTGACCGAAAGTGTCATCTGACCGAAACATGTCATCTGACTGGAGTCAATCCCTACTTATTATATGTACAAGCATATATATGTGTGTAGTATGTATGTAACGTGTATATGTATGTATAAATTACTTTATATATATTATATTGTGTACATTTTATTTTGGAGTGTCATTTTAATTATGAAAATAATTATTTTGACAAAAACTATTTTAAAGTATATTTTATATACTTGTGTTAAAATGTTTTGGATATTTTATTTTATATCATAAAAATTATTGATGTCAAATAAAATACACTTTAAACATTTGAGAGGAGAACAATTAAATTCTTCCCCACTTTTCTTTTTCGTACCATGCATGACCTTGAGTGTGTGGGGGCTTTGTCTCCCACTACACTTCATTATGTGTGTGCATTTGTCCTTTACCAATTGTATATGTTCATATATTATTCTTTTAATATTATATAACAAATGGATTTTTCTTTTTTTTTTCACAAGCATCAATATATTCATTATAAAAAAAATCAAAGAATACAAACGTCTGAACAAGCGGGAACAGGCTCCTCACTTGTATAAAAAGTAAGCAACAACCAAAAAACTATAATGTGAAGCGCTTATCGGATATTGGAACATAGACTTAAGTGCAATTACTAAGCCGGCTCAAAACATTCCACTTAGATCTAGGAATAAAATCATTCCCGGAGCCTCAACCCCCGCAAGGGTAAGGCCTAAGGTCAGATAATCCGATCAAGAAAAAATGTTCTAAGCCAAGAAATGCAATCGACATAAGTCCAGTCTAAAATCCAAAAAGCCCAACTAAAGAATGAATAAAATAATATGTGCAAAAATAATCCAAGTGAGCCAAGTAGAGCCCAAAACTGGAAAAGCCCAATGCATGAAGGAAGGCATGTGTGCTA